GAGATCAAGGTTTGCATTTTAAATTATTTTAAATTTTAAAATCCATATAGATAATTTACTGAATGACAACTTTGGCTACTTTAAGTGAACAGTGATTTTTGTTAATTGTGCATAAACCATATTTGTGGGAGGGAGACTGAGAAATGTTAATAAAAATTAGAAACTGAACATTGATGGGAGTGAGGGAAGATGACAGTCAAGAAACAGAGAATTAAGTCAAATCAAGAAGCATTTATCAAATGTATTCAATCCTACTATGTGCCTCGCATAGTGCTGGGGATAGAAAGGCAAAAATGGTCCCTTTCCACAAGGAACTCATAATTATGCAAACAACTATTTTCAAACAAGATATATAGAAGATAAACTGGAAGTAATCTCAGAGGGAATAAGGTGCTAGCGTTTAGGGAGAACCGAAAAGTTCTGGCAGAAGGTGAGATTTTAGTTTATCCAAACTCTTAACCAGAATACTTAAATGACCATTAATCCAATTTTGGAAACCTACCATGGTGAGAGTATCAACTAGTAGATCTGAGTATTTTACTTTATTTAATCTAGGATTCAGAGTGTATATCAGAGTGTATCATGGTTCTATTGTAGAGTTCAATTCAAACATGTACTAAGCCCCTAATACAAGCAAAACATTGTACAGATAATTATTTTGTTAGTTTAATTTCTGAAAATGTCTGCTTTGGTAATAACTATTAGTACTTAAGTATATTGATTTAAGCCCTAATGCTGAGCAAAACCTAAAAATGGGAATTTTTAAAAGCTTATGTTTGAGTTTGTACATTATTTACTACCAGGTACTAATAAAAACAAGATAGTTTTGTTCAAATGCAAAATTATTAGATTTTATAAAAGAATGTGTTAATGGGATACTAATTAATGAATATAATTATTCTTCCTTCCTAGAAATTAACTTTTACCCAGACATACACACACATTAAATAGCTTAGGGAGCTTTAAAAATTAAAAAGATTTTAAATAGAAATACCATAATTAACAGGAAGTGGATATATGAATGATACTGCTTTGCACATAGTAAGGGCTTAATAAATGCTTTTTCATTCATTCATTCACTGAGCATCAAACACTTTTAAAATTTCCATCAAGCAACGATATTCAATTGATTAGATTGTCAGTGAAATGAAAGTAAAACTTGCACAAATTTCATACCTTCAAATTAAGTACTCAAATGCAAAATGATTTTTACTAATGGTAATTGGCAAACCATTTAACTCAAAACCATTTAACTTTATAAAATTCAGTACTGCTCCTAGGGATGTAGTTAGGAAAAACTGATAAAATATATTAAAATATGCTTTTCCCCAAATACTGGCACATTCAGACAGCAAATTTTTTAAAATTTCATGTCTCACTTGCCCTTTTCTTTATCCAGCTTACATTTACCTGCAGTTAAAAAGACAGCTTTGCTAATGTCAGCAAAATTATCCACATACTCATCTGCTCAAACATGTTTGGTTCATAATGCAAGTCATGAAAACCTTTTAAGTTAACACACACATATAACCTGTTTCAAACTGTTTCCAGGTTCAAATTGACTAGAAAATTTCTTATAAAACAAAATTATCTCTCACTGCAGCTTTTTACTCACAGACAATTTGTATACTTACTTAAAAATCACATTGCATAGGAAAAAATATTTAAAAATCATGCAGCATTATCCTTCTTTTTAACAAAACCTGAGAGCACTTGAATAACTAAAATCAATTAGTTCGGGATGTCTTCTAAAGCAGGAAGGAATTATGATTTGAGAAATGAGAGATTTCAGAATTTTAATTACAGCAAAGTGTTTTCATGAACTCTTTATGTTGTATAGTTCTTTTAGGTTCACTCAACTACTACTAAGAACTTCCCATTTCTTCTACTTCACAGCTCCCAAAAGTTCTTAAATTCATCCCCTCAAAGCCTCCTAATTTTCAAGCCAAAATGGATTATCTTGGAAGAGTAATTCAAATGGACAAAGAACAAGCTTAATTTGGGAAAGTTCTATTAATTGTAATGTTGAAATTTCTGGCTCTTAGAAAGTATTGTCCCTTTAAAGTCCTCAGACTGGGAGAAGTAATAATAATAGCTTTAACCTTGCCCAGCCTGAAGTCACTTGGGGGGATGCTTGCAGTTCTGGCACCAGTCTCTTTTAACAATGAAGAACACAGGAAGGGTGAGGGAAATTTTATATGGAAAACTGAAGCAAATTTTTCTGTAAGCATAGGCCTAAACCTTCTTTACTACTACACGACATTCAGACACATACATACACTTCCTAATTATAGCTGCAGTTTAAAGTTTTTTTAATTTATTCCGACAAGGGTTCAGGGTGAAAAGAGAACCAGACAGGCATATTTTTATAGATCAGTATACTTCTTTTTGGGGGTTACTGCCGGGGATTGTAGTTGCTTCTGCCCTACAAATCATTTGGCTGACTAGAATCAAACTATTAGTCAGGAGGAAAGATCACTTTTAATGCAGGGTCAATTCTAGGATAAATTTGTGTCTGATTCAGTCTTTGTGTCTGATTTAGTCAGACACTGCATAGGAAGAGGTTGCATTGGGAAATAACCTCCCATTAGCTGGTCTAAAAAAGTCAGTGTGGCAGCTCCCGAGTTTCTGATAGTTCCCCTACCTCTTGAAACTCTTCCCACTTCCTGATCCATAGTGCCTAACAGCCTCACCCTGACTCATAGCTTTGCCAAGCATGTTAAAAAGTTCTGTTGGTGCTGTACTGACAGCCTGAGCTGTTGGTCTGGCCTTGGATAGGAACTGGTTAAGCCCAGAACTGGGCCTTGTCCTGGCAAATGCCAAGTCAGCAGGTTTCCTCCCCCTTCCCTTCTCCTCCCCCTCCCCCTGCACCCAGGAACTATGCACAGTACTACCAACAGTTTTTCCTCCACCCTGGTAGATGGGAGAAAAGGGATCTTATGTCTAACCCATCCCACCTGGCTCCCATGCACAGAGATATAAAGGGTCAAGAAAAAACAACAAAATTTTCCTTAACACCTCACTCTGTCCCTACACAAAGAGTACACATATTCCATCAGCTTGCAGATAGAAGAGGAAAGTAACTTTATGGAAAAAGCCCAAAGCTAACACCGTAATATTAACCCCCTGACTGATCCAAGGACTCAAGTAAGCAGGCTAACCAACACCATAAAGTCACTGTGGAGAGGGGGTGATGGGAGATTTCCTTCCCTTCTCAGCAAGGATGATGGAAGATAGACTTTTCCTGCTATCCACGCCCAGAGCTCAAAGCTCTGGGATTTGAATTTGCTTGATCTTAACCCCGTACTAGCCAGACATTAAAAGTAGTGAACATATAAGTGAATGCAGGAGAGAAAAGTAGGGAAAATAAATGGGTCTCCTTTCTCTGATGCTCAGAGGTGGTGCAGGGCAGCACAGACTCTGAATCACTTAATCATGCTGCTACCCTCTAAACAGCACATCTCTCCTTTATGTCAGGGTTGTTCTCAGTATGAGAGTGTGTCATTCTTTGTCATCCTCTGTGTCCAGTCTTTTCCCTTCATGTTCTGTGTATGTCTCTGTATATCTTTCTGGGTGTACATATCTCTCTCCTTGTGAGACTGTCTTTTTTTCCTCTGTTAACCACACCTGTCTGTTTTGAGTCTTTCTCTCCCACCTTCTATATACCCATACTGTCACCCCCATGACATTGTTTTTGTCTATAATCCCTCTCTTTCCCCCATTCCCACTTTTCCTATACTTGAACTCCTCATCTCTTCATCTGCAACGCTGCATTCTTTTCTTGCTGCATGTCTGTCTTCTTGCCTATCCTACCCCCAAATCTGGCCTATTTCTCCCTTGCATTTCTTCTTTTCACCTTTCCTTTAGTATCTTTCTGAGTAACTTTATAAGCCAGTTCACATTTATCTGTGCGTCCCTATCCATCCATATTTCTCCGTCCTCAACCATGGTGGGGCTCTTCCCAGATCCCTGATTATCTGTTCTTCTGCCTTTTAACTCTTCTGTGCATGTCCTTTCACTCTGTGTCAATGCACGTCTATATAGTTGTCTCTCTCCCTCTCTGTGTATGCACTTCCACTTGTGAATTCATGAGCTCCTCTCTTCCCATGTATAGTTCACACCTATGTGTTTTCCTCCCTGGAGATGTCTCTGTGCGTACCTATGTACCTTCAACTGTGTCTATATCCCAGTTCGTGTTCCCGTGTGCACATGTCCCCGGCCTCGGTGTCGATGTCTCTGTCTCCAGCCCACACTCCGGTTCCTGCCGCTTCTCTCTCCCATACGGGTGGGTGTCCATGTGTCATTCATTCTGCCTCCACTTGGTGGGTGCCTCTGAATTACCCTCTCTCTGCCCCCCAATGGGTTTGCGTGTGCGTTTCGCTCCCCCCCATAAGTGCTGAGTGTCCCTCAGACAGCTGTCCCCAGGCGTGTATGGCCGTGCCCGAGCCCATGTCCCGACTCTGTCCCTTCTCCCGCTGTCGCCTCTGTCCCCGGTGTGCCGGGCGGGTCCCCGGCTCTGTGTCCACTCTGTCCCGGGTGTTTCTCTCCTTTTCACTGGAGTGACTGCTCCCGGGTCAGTCAGAGGCGGGTCTGGCTGCGCCTCCCTCCCTCAGTGTCGCGTTATGGACGGGCGGCCGCCCTCGGAGCCCCGTTTGGACTTGGGGGAGCCTCCCTGTCCCCGCCCGGCTGCCACCCGAAGAAGGGGCATCCCAGACCGACGCCGCCCGCCGGCCCGCTGCCCTGGGGCTGCCTGGGACAGGGAGAATCCTCCCGGGGGTGAGGCGGAGAGAACGCTCCCGGGAGGGAGCGCGGAATCCTCCAGGGGCTGAGCTGCCCGCCCTGTGACCGCCCTGCTGGGACGGGACGGGACGGGACGGGACGGGAGAGGGCCAGGAGCGCGCGGCGCAGCCCCGCTCCGGAGCGCCCGCTCCGCTCCGCAGCCCAGCCCAGCCCAGCCCAGCCCGGCTCGGCTCGGCTCGGCTCGGGACTCGGACTCTCACCTTATGGGTCTGGTATGTCTCTAGCGCCCGGATCGCCGTCTCTGTGAGCTTCACATGCAACACGGTGATGTTGTCCTGGCCGAGCCTCCCGCACGATAAACCGTAGCGCCGCTCCTCCCGCAGACCCGCTGCCGCCGGCCCCCCCGCCGCCATCTTAAACTCCCCCGGGTGCTGCTGCTGCTGCTACTGTTGCCTCCACTGCGGCCGCAGCTGCTCCGGCTCCTGCAGCCGCCACCACAGCAACGGCCATCCCGCTGCTGACGTACTGTCATATACTGAGCACAACTAAACCCTCCCGCAGCCCCTCGGCCGCCACGTCCCGCCCCTTTCCACTCCTTTCCGCCCCCCCAGGCTTGGTCACCGCCTCCCGCCTCCTTTCATTGGCTCTCTTACTTCAAGGCCCTCCTCCATTGGCCGCGCTCCACCCGGAGTGGGGCGGGGCCTCTAGTGGCCTCAGTTTCGCTTCGGAGACTGGATGCCAGGGAGCAGAAGGACTGACGTAGAGGTGACGCGACTCCTTAATTATTTCTGACGTCACGCATGGAAGACTTGGCCGGTCGGCCGCGATTGGTTGGCCTGGCCAGTGGCTCTTATCCTAATTGGGTGGCTGGGTTAGGCTCTGGTTACCTGGAACCGGAGCCCCTCCCAGTCAGGTAGTGAAAGCGGGGGTTGCCGGTAGTAGTTGGAGTTTTCCCCCTTTTCAGTGGAATGCCTGAACTTCTGTGTGGACTTTTGGGACGTGAGGAACCAGGACTGAGTCAGGGGACTGGGCGAGGTGGGCGGAGGGTTGGTAGTGACCAACCAGGGAATTTGCCCTCTTAAGGTTAAGAATTCCTGGTCTTTCACGCGAGGACGGTAACTTGTCTTTCCAGAGCTCAGACTGTACAGCTTGGGGGCGGGGACTTTTCTCCTGGGGGCGGAACTTTACAGCTTGGGGGGGCGGGGACTCTACAGCTGGGGGAGGGGAATTACTGCTAGGAAAGAAGACTCAGCAGGGCTCTCGTGCTAAAGGGAGGGGACTCCAGAGCTAGGGTCTGCTATCTCTGGTCATTTTCACCCTGAACCTGGGGTTGGTGCTATAAATTTATTCCTTTAATTTCTTTGATTGCTGTAGCAAGAAACTAGATTTTAAGTCAGAGGTCCATTCTGCTCATTAACTTTGTGACTTTGGGTATTAAATCATTCAACCTCTCCAAGCCTATTTCTTCATCTATATAATGAAGGGGTTGGGTTAGACAGCCTTCAAGGTCCCTTTTTGCTCCATGTCTGTAATCCCACAATAGTCTTTACTGAAACACTTGTTCACTTGAAACCACTTAAAATATATCCAGTGGTGGAAACAGGACTGCTTGAAATGCAGTTCCACGATACAAGATCAGTTCCATTTCCACCCCTAATTACATGCAAGTGGTCAAAGTTGGTTGGTGAGCATGGTTAAGTGCCTACTGTTGTGTGCACTTATTGGTAGTTTCTGGAGGAGTCTCAAAGATAATTGGAACTTAAAATTTAACATTATTTTTCAAAAATAGCTCAGTTGGGAAGAGTATTGAGGAGGATATATGGAGCTTTGGGCCAAGTTCTAAGTAATATTGTTAATTTTATCTGCATTTGTCTGTTTGACAGGGAAGTGGGAACACCTGAATGCATTAAAATGGTAAAGTGGGGGAGAAGGTTCAGAAGCTAACAGGAATCTAGGCATAGTAGGGAAATAGGGGTTATCTACTACTTCCTATTTAACAAGATATGATGTCAAGCTCTATCTGTATTGTGGATATGGCCGAAAGAGCTGAAAATATCCAATAATCCTTTTCCTATTTCTGTGGAAAGACCTTATAGATAGAATGCAGAAAGTTAGTGTTAACTAAATTGTTGGAAATAAAGTATAATAAAGCCATTGCAAGAGTTAAAGAAAGTATTCCCTAAGATGTCATTCTTATTTTAGCCCATCCCTCATTGCAATCAAACCATCCACACTGGTCTAACTTTAAGTTGAGCTAATTGAGTTAGTAAGATCAAATGAGATAATATTTGTAAAGTTATTAGCAGGGTATGTAGCACACAGTAGGCACTTAATAAATCCTCAGTCCCTGTACCCCACCTCTTTTCCTAGCTAATCAGTATGATTTTAAAATTAAATATTTTTAAGTCATGACTTAAACATACGTCTCTGTTTATAAGGTTGTTTATGACAATCTCAGATTGATTATTTGTGGACATAAGGAAATATACAATGTCACATTTAAATTGTGTTGACACTTCTTTACAATCTTCTTGTGGAACTGTCTCTTTTCACACTTTCTGAGAAGTGTAAGCTTTTGCCAAGGCCAGATCTCTAATATACTTCCAAAATAAAAGAATTGTTCAAGTCATTTAGAACCGTGGTCTGAATTACTTTCTATTGTCTTATTGACTATTAATAATGAGTGTCTGACTATTTCATTGTTTTAAAACTATTGTCTTATTTTTCTTCTTCACTTTGGCAGTGAATCTCTAGTTATATATCTATAGTCTCAGTTATTTTGTGTGTTAGCAGACAGCAAGTATAATCTGTATCTAAACTCCCTACATAGGTTTCTGATGTGTCAATTCTCACCCACAAACCATCTTAATTTTCTTTCTGCTTTGGTGGTAACTCTGCTTAAAGGATTGGGTGGGTAGTTGGTGGTATTTATTGCCACTAGCTTTGAAGCCCCTTATTAGGAATTTCACATTTTATAATTTGAGGTATATTGGACATTTTTTCTCACTTGTTACAGCGTATACTATATTAATGAGGGAGTTAATGTTTACATTTCTATTGTTTCCTTTGAACATTTTCTTTTGACGATTTTCTTTCTAGTCATTAAAAATGTTCATGAAGACAGTGTATCAAGAAAAAATGCTATTTGGATGATCTGCCAGTCATTCATTGATGCCTCACAGGCACCCAGTACATCATGCTTTCATGAGGATAGTCAGAGTTGTGATGCTGATAAGGGTGATTATGAGGGGAGTGATGAAGAAAGACAGTTATAAAGGTTGCTATTTTTGTTACTTGTTTTTATAGCTCATATCCAGTTTGTCATATCAATATTTATTGGATACCTACAATGTGCAAGATGCTGTGGGATGTTTGTTGGATACCTAAAAGGTACAAGATGCTGTGGGGAAGCAGATAAATATAACATCTATAGTTCCTCCACTCAAACAGCTTATCTTCTGTTTATGATGACAACCAACATTCATAAAATAGAAAGCAAATAAGTGCTGAACCATTGTTTAATAATGTGTCAGTGTAGCAGGAATTCAGGAAAGGAAAGACCCATGTGGCCTGTCATAGGTGGAAAAGGTTTCATGCAGGAGGTAGATTTGGGGCCTTGAAGAATCAGTAGGATGTAGATAAGCAGATGGGAGGTGGAGGTGGGCAGGGACTCTCCTCAATCCAATGGGTTCTTTATTTTTATTGTGATTGTGTTAGGTGTCTGGAAGGGGGTAAAGGATACAATAAAACCCTATTATAAAGTGATTCACTTTATAGAGTACATTTAGTCAACTGCAATACTGTAAGGATTGACATATATTGTTGGTGGATAACTCCTGGACTTAGCCTATGGTCTTTGAGAGTTGTAGTACTTGAAAAATTCATTGTTACCTGGCCAACCTGCTAATGAGCCTTTCTGAGCCTAATTAGTTTGGCTAGTCTATCAGTCAATTAACAAGCATTATGAAGGACCTCCTGTGGACTACAGGATTGGAGAATATGAATAAAACAATGCCCACTTCAAAGAGCTTGCATCTAATGAAGACAAGAAGTACAAATAACAATATATTTATATGTGAGGCAGCTAGGTGGATCAGTGGATAGCATGTACAGCCTGAGAGTCAGGAAGGCCTGAGTTAAAATACAGCTTCAGATAGTGGATATGTGACCTCGGTCACCTAACTGCTCTTTGCCTCAGTTTCCTCAACAACCCTACTTCTAAGGGTTGTTGTGAGGCTCTTCAGAGATAATATTTGTAAAGCACTTCCCACAGTACCTGGCAGAGAGCAGGAGCTTAAAAAAAAACCAAACCTGTTCCTTTTCTCTCTATGTGTGTAACATGAATAAATACGAAATATTTATACCAAGAAGTTAAATACAAGGTAATTTGGAAGAGAAGCCTTGAGGAAAAGCTTCATACCAGAGATAATACTTGAACCGGCTTAAGAAAAAGAAAGGAATTTTGAGGCAGAGAATAAAGGGGGAACCCATTCCACCCACGTAAGTTGTTGGCAAGTAAAAAGGCAAGGAGGTGGGAGATTAACTTACTTCATTCATTAAGTAAACATTTAAGTGCCTAACCTGTTCAAGGTACCATTCTAAGCTCTGGAAGTACAAAAAGAGGCTAAAGATAGTGCCTGCCTCAAGTAATTTACAATCTAATGGGGGAGACCACATACAGGCAAATATATACAAAGGAAGCTATGTACAGGATAAATAGGAGATAATCAAATGAGGGAAAGCAGTGGAATTAAGAGGAGTTAGATAAAGCTGCCAGTAAAAGGTGGGATTGTAGTTGAGACTTAAAGGAAGCCAGAGAGGTCAGTAGTTGGAGCCAAGGAGGGGGAGAGTTCCAGGTACAGAGATCAGCCAGAGAACATGCCCAGAGCCAAAAAAATGGAACAGCCTGGAGGCCAGTGTCACTGTATCAAAGAGAAAGAGTATGTATTGGGGAATAAGGTTGTAAGAAGACTGGAAAGGAGTGGGCTAGGTTATGAAAGGCTTTGAATGGCAAACAGAGTATTTTTCATTTGCTCCTGGGGGCAATGTGTGAGGAACAGAGAAGTCAGGCTACAGCACAGAGTGAGAAAAGAGTAGCAATGTCCAAAGAGGTTTCAGAAATAGAATGGAGGCAGTTTGTGAAGAGCTTTAAAAGTAAACAGAGTTTATATTTGATGGAGTTTGACTGCTCAATCAACACGGTCAGATCTGTTCCTAAGAAAAATTACTTTAGCAGCATGTGAAAGATGGATCAGAGCGGGGAAACACTTGAAGCAGACAGACCAATTGTCCTTGGAAATTTGCCATGTGTGTCTGTAGAGATACATGTACATACATATACATACTTGCACAGTCCATCACTGGACCTGTTCTCAAAACCTTTCCTGCTTGGTAGAAACTGCCAAAATTTACACTTTACTGGCACAGCTTTTGAGAACCCATTGACCCCCTTACCCTCATGATAAAGCATCAGAGAAGGACTTTTTGATCATAGGGATAGGAACTGGAACTGTGATTTAATTGGCTTGGGGAACTTCCAGATGAGGGAAGTTGTTGTAGGTTGCAAAAGCATTGGGAAGTTAAGTGACTTGCCCAGGTCTTCCAGGGTTTGAGACCTGCTTTCTATTCACTGTGCCATATTGCCTCATATCAC